AGAAAGAGACCACTTTTATTACAGTATATTGTTTTAATTGTACTATTTTATTATTAGTTATTGTTAATCTCTTACTGTGCCTAATTTATAAATTATCCTTTATCATAGATATGTATATATATGAAAAATCATAGTCTATCTAGGGTTCAGTACTCTCCACAGTTTCAGATATCCACTAGGGGTTTTGAAATGTATCCACTTCAAATAACGGGGAATACTGTACTTTCTGCAGTAATTTTGAAGAAAAATCAGTTGTGGAACTGATTTTTAAAAGACTGCTTTCTTTAAAAAAGAGAACAGAAAGCAATCAATTTAAGCTGGGTTTTTTTCCCCCCCATTGTAGTGAGAAATGTAAAGCATTCAACTCAGGTCTCTTAAAAATTAAGAAAAGGAACCATAAAATGTCCAATATTAAAACAATTTTTAGTTGTACATTATATATTTGTCTCAGATTAAGATCAGCAGATATACAAGGGAAGGGAGGAGTGAAGCAAGAAGCAGAAAAGTAGGAGAGAAAAGGCTGAGAAACAAACCAAAACACAGACGATACAAGGAGTGAAAGAAAGATTAGAAAAACCAGAAGAGGGTTGGAAGACAGGATAATATTTAGGAACGAAGGGAAAGGATGACAGGACTGTGTAGCTTTTGCACTTAAGCACAGCTTCTCATTACTTTTATCATCCTTTGTTTGAAGTCTTACTCTCCACCTATGAACTACACGCTCCATAAGCATGAGAATTGTGCTGGATTTTGCTTACTATTGTTTTCCCAGTGCCTAACAGAGACATAGTAAACACAGCAAGGATTATTAAGTGAATGGGTGAACAAAGAAACAAATGAAAAAAGAGAGTGTAGGGAAAGGGAATTCTGTGGCTCAAATGGCACCAGCTATGGTCCACTGAGAGCTACCATTGTTTCCTCAAAAGCAAGAGGCCATGGACTTGGCTTATCCTGGCCCCTGAGATGCTTGCAATAGTGTTTCTTTGGAGGCAGCTTTACAAACGCTTACACATTATCTGTGAGAGTTGCAGTCTACTGTTAGAACAAGGTTTTGCATCTGTTTCTTTCGGAAACTTTTTGAAGGTTGATGTTTTCACCATCCCTCCCGTTCCTGGTACCTTCTTACCCCAAGCCCAGTCTGTGATGCTCCCAAATCCTCCTGCCCCAACAGCCCCTCTGGAATCCTTGTCCTGTTGTATGTTGAAAAAATCTCTCCCAGAACGCTGCTTTCTTGGCTCTCCCAAGACAAGCCCTGTCTTAGTCCCTTTTGTGTTGCTGTAACAGAATACATGAGACTGGGTGATTTATAATGAACAGAAATTTATTGGCTCACAGTTCTGGAGGCTGAGAAGTCTATTTTCAAAGTGCCCGCGTCTGGTGAGGGCCTTCTTGCTGCGTAATCACAGAATAGAAGGTGAGGGGGTGAGAGAAAGAGAGGACCAAACTTGCTCTTTTGTTACAGCACCAATCATCACCCCCATGAGGTGGAAGTTCACACATTAGCCTCATGGTCTAATCACTTCCTGAAGGTCCCACATCTTAATACTGTTACAATGCCAATCAAATTTTAAAATTAAATTGAATTTTGGAGCGGACAAGCATTCAAACCATGGCAAGCCCCGTCTCCTTTAGCTCCTTGGTGGTAACTGCCTATTTTTCCCAACCCTGTCTGTATTAAGAGCCCTAGAAAAGGGTCAGCATTCTGGGCTCCTCATCACCAAGAAATCAACATACCTCAAACCTCCCATAAAAATGCACTTTTCTAGTCCTTCCCATCCTATCCTTTAATACCTCCTGGTCACTCTTGTTCATTCATACAGATTTTAGCCCTTGGCCACCCACAGCCTCCTCATCTACCCCGACTACTGACCTGCAGGATGACTTCAGGAGTTTTGTGCACAATTCATCTAAAAATTAGCCTCTACAAATTCTGTGATTTTTTTTAATGGTGGTAAAATATATATAACACACAATTTACCATCTTACCATTGAAGTGTACAGTTTTGTGGCATGAAGCGCATTCATACTGTTCTGCAACCATCACTAATCTATCTCCAGAAATTTCTTATCTTCTCCAGCTAATGGTCTGTATCCATTAAACACTAACTTCCCATGTTCAGTGATACTTACTTTTACCAGGCTTAAGGCACTCTCACCTCAAAATTTTTCATTTCATAAAGTTGTTTTACCTTCAGAATTTTAAATTTTGTTATTTTACTTTCTGTCCACAATCTCCTGTCTTGCCAACAGACCATGGTGCAGACAGATCTGAGTTGGGATCCCAGCTAATCCAGTTACCAGCTTCATTTCTTAATCTATTTTGTGTTGCTGTGAAGAAATATCTGGGACTGGGTAATTTATAAAGAAAAGAAAGTTATTTAGGGAATGGTTCTGAAGGCTACACAAGAAGCACGGTGCCAGCATCTGCTTGGTTTCTGGTGAAGGCTTTTGTGCTGCATCAAAATATGGCAGAGAAGGGCCAAAGGGGAAGTGGGCATATGCAAAAAGACACCAAACCCTAGGGGCACCCTGGCTTGTAACATCGCACTCTCACAGGAACTGATCCATTCCCCCGAGAACCCATCGAGGCTCCTAAGAGGGAGAACTCACCGGACGCGGTGGCTCACGCCTGTAATCCCAGAACTTTGGGAAGCCGAGGCAGGTGGATCACCTGAGGTCGCAAGTTCGAGACCAGCCTGACCAACATGAAGAAACCCCGTCTCTACTAAAAATACAAAATTAGCCAGGTGTGGTGGCGCTTGTCTGTAATCCCAACTACTCAGGAGGCTGAGGCAGGAGAATCGCTTGAACCCAGGAGGTGGAGGTTGTGGTGAGCGGAGATTGCGCCATTGCACTCCAGCTGGACAACAACAAGACTGAAACTCAGTCTTAAAAAAAAACAGTGATAGCTCACTTACTACTGTGAGAATGGCACCAAGCCAATTCTTGAGGGATCTGCCCCCATGACCCAAATACCTCTCATTCGGCCCACTTCCAACACTGGAGATCAAATTTCAACAGGAGGTTTGGAGAACACAGACAAACCATATCTAAACCATGGTACCTCACTTTCTTCAGTTGTAAAATTCACATAATAGGTAATGTAAATTAATTTTAAATTCACACATTAATGTGTGAACTCCCTTAAACCTTGATCTTTCTGATGCTCATCCCAGGGAGACACAGCATGCTGTATCAGTCGAGCTTTCTATCTCATCTGCACATCCATCTGGGCTGTGGGTGAGCAGCTGGACCAGCCACACTACCGTGCAAGCATTTCATGGGTCCCTGTTAGGTTTCCTCTGCTCTTCCCCCACAGGCCTATTTCAGATCTTTCCCCTTTGCTCCATCTCCCTACCCAGCCAGTCTTCCCTGTTTCTATAAACCAGAGTCCTTAACACTTTAATGATATTAGAACCACACACATTCCCTGAGGTCCTGATTTGGTAAGAGGTGGTGGGGTGGGAATCTACAGTTTTCAAAAGCAACCAGGGGATTTCGGTACACACAGTGTGCAGCCCACTGTTTGTGGAGGGCTGTCCTGAGCCATAAGCTCCTTGAGAGCAGACACACAGTCTTATCTGACTTTCACCCCTAAATACCTAACAATAGATGCTGAAGGATTGATTGAATGAATGAATCTGTCACTCTGCACTTCAGAGTAAGTTACTGTTCGCCTTTGAAATGCTAATTAGCTACAGCTGTTTAAATGCAGTTTAAAACTCTTCAATATGTTTTATCTTTAGTTCTTTATCAGCCCTTTTCACTGCCATTGGGGGCAGGGAACTATAAAGAACTTGTTATTCTCTGCCTAGCAACAACAACAAAAAGCCAACCCAAGGGCCAGGTAAGATTGAGCCTGCAGTCTAGAGATACACAAATTGGGCCTTGCCACTGTGACTTAGGGAAGAACACTGATGACTCTCATTCTAGGGATTCCACAGGCAGAGGCTGTTGTAGCCATTTCAGTGGACTTTTCTGGAATGGAAAGAGTTTCAAGCACGATGCTCACTGCTAGGGATGTTGGGAGAAGGTGATTTAGAGAAATAGGTGGGTAGACAGAGACAAAGACTGGCACACCCCATCAATGCTGCAGAGGCTTCAAATCCCAGCTTGGCCATTTACTAGCTTGTGACAAGTGTAATGAAACTTAGAACCTCTTGTTTCCTTATCGGTAAAATGGGGACCACATGATTTACCTTGCGGAGCTTTGGGGAGGATGGAAAAATGTCATATAAGTAATATATAGTGATTCTATGATGTTAGACAATTGAGCAGAGTCTTGAAGAAAGCATCTGTCAGTCTCTACCACGATTGGAGGGAAAACACACACACACACACAACACCTACACCCAGGCTGCCTACAAAAACAGAAGTGGAACCAGCTATTGCCCTGTGGGGAAGTCTAACTCTCACCCATTGCAATAAAATATTTCCAAAGGGAGCAGACAGAGTAACCTCGGGCCATGCCCTCCCACTTCCCTCTTCCTCAAGTGGAGCTCGGAGGGAGGCAGAGCTGGTGGGGAGCCTTTATAGAGGAAGTGGGAGGTAAAGTAGTGTGGGTGGCTGAGGCTGAAACATTTCTTTCACCACCTTCCTATACCGTCCCCCGCCTTCTCTTCTGTGCCAGGGGGAAAGAGAAACAGTGCATGCCTATGCTGTACCCACACACACTTGGATCTGCTCCCCCAGCCTCCAGATCCCACCTCATCATTCGTCATCATTCACTGAATGCCTGTAGCCCTCACGGTGCTTTCTAAATGCCTCAGCTGGAACCTCCCTGGGAGCCCATATAAAGTTTGCTTCAATATTTGGGGTCTTCCCCCAGCCCATGAAGACCAGCGTCTAAGCCCTACTTCAGCCCTTCCCTGTGCCTGGTTTTCTCTCTCCAATTTAAGTGCTAAGAGACTTTGGTTTATATGTTAATAATAATAAACAGCTATAGACGTTCTCCCCTTCCATACTTATTCCCTTATTCCCACACATTTATTTACTTTCAGGAGAAGAATTTGGATTGGTTTCCTCGGATGCGAGCCATGTCCCTCGTTAGCAATGAAGGCGACAGTGAGCAAAATGAAATTCGGAACCTTCAGGAGAAGTTGGAATCGACCATGAGTCTAGTCAAACAGCTGTCGGGTCAGCTGGCAGAGCTCAAGGAGCAGGTGGGTGCATTCAGGGAGACGGTGCTGGGTGGGATAAAATCATTCACCACCTCTGGTGAGGGGAGACAGAGGGTCCAGGGAGCCAGGTCATTAGCCATAGAGGATTGCAAACTCCGAGAAAGAAACCTCACATCGTACTGTAGAACCGCATCCCAGCAAACGGGGACTTCCACTTATCCCATCTCCCTGAGCCTTGTGCAACACTTCTCCTTCTGTGGAAGGGGGAAAGGAGAAAATGCCAAACTACAAGCATCTCTTTGCATTAAAAAAAAAATCATTTTCTGCCATGATAGTAATTACTAAGCCCATGGGAAAGGCAGATCCTCATTAGTATCTGCCATTTCAATGCTATAATCAACCCCTTTATCATATAAAATTGTTAGTATTAGTAAAAATATCAACAGTAACCATGGTAGCTATTAAAATGACTGTGGTGATGGTGACAGCTATGTGACAGGCAAGATCTGTTTTCTAAAATGGCTCCTGCTTCCTAACCACAAAGAGGGGTTTGCTCTTTTTCTCTGATTATGGAAATTCACTTTTAAAAAAAAATCCCTTTTTTGATAAATATATTCTATATGATGCTGGACAGTAGGTAGTTGGGGAATATTAACTCAAAACGGTTGTGGCCCACCAGTACTGGGTAAGAGCGAGAAAATCCGCTGAACACACGCTCTCTCTTTTCCCCCAGATGACAGAACAAAGGAAGAATAAGCAGAGACTGGGCTTCCTCGGATCAAACACACCCCATGTGAATCATCACATGCCACCACACTGATACCATGGGGGGAAGCCGTGACTAGCCTTTCATCAGTGTCCTGCCTGATCACTGAATAAAGAACTGAGATGGAGGGGAGTGAACAGTGCCTATTGTTGAAAAGTTAAAAACAACCAAGTGCCAAGATGTTGAGTGGGTTAGCTCCGAGAACAATTTATAACTGTGTTTTCATGGTTGCGAAGACCTAACCTCAAATGCATCTGCTAGAAAGCGTACATCACACATTTGCAATGCAACAGGAAGAAAAGGCTTGCCCAAAAGGCTGGAGAGGGCAGGGAGCGGCAGGGTGGAAGGAGACACGGGGCAGAGAGAACTATCTTCTGCTAAATCGATAGGAGTCAGTTTTGCCTTAAGTGCTGACTGCAGCCACTGACATGGTTGGCTGGAATTTCTTTCTTTTAATTGTGGCATATAGGTTCGTGATACAAGAAGTCATACTTTGGTGGCTAAGTTTTCCTAAGGAAAATAACTGAAAAGATGAAAAGTGAGAGTTGAAAAGAGAAATGATAATGCTTCCAAACTGTAGCTGTCACAGGGCAATTTCTTTATTTATAACATGAAGCACAATGGATTTACAGCTCTAGGAACTTAGTACTTTGGAGCTTTTGCCTCTCATGCTGACAACATAACAGAATGTGATTGCCTTCTCCGGATTCAGGCAGGCTCTGTCAATGTGGAGCACAAAAGGAGATTTTTGTATAACTTGTTGAAAACATGCTCTAAGTCATGGATAGGCTAAGATTTTTTAAAGATCTGGGGGAATAAAAAGCCAACAGTAAACCCCAGGAAAGGGTTTTTAGAGACCATGTGTATGCTATTAAAATATATTGAGATTAATACATGAACATGCTTAAAGGTGATAGGAATTACTGAGAAACTTATGGTGGTGGCATTGCCTTTTCTAAACCTGGAGTGAAAGCTATTTGACTCATGTTTGCTGTGCCTAAAGAACTGCTTCAGGAACTGAGCATTTTTATTTATGGTATTCCTGCAGTTAGGAAAAAAAAAAATCCAAGAAATGTATTGAATACTCAAGAAAATGCCGCATTTCAATTACGTATTTAAAACTGTATCTGAAAGGGCTTTTCAAAATGTAGAAAGACAAAAACCTCTTATTCGAATTGTTTTTATGTTAAATCATGCACTCAGAATTTGTGGAGGGAGAGAACCTGGCGTGTTCAGGTTATTCTTAGAGACTACACGTTTGGAATAGCAGAGCAAAATGTGGAAAATTAAAGTGTTAGGAAAAGAAGCGGTGTGTTGGGACCCAGAGCAATGAATTTTTGAACTGAAGCTACTGGTACTCCCCAGCACCACCTCATACTAAGAATTCCTCACTCTGACATGGTAGTATTTTTTCTGACCAGGAGCTGAAAGACCCTGACATTCGTGATCCAAAGATATAAGAAATTTTGATATGTCTGCATGTAGCACAGAACTTTGAACCTAACAGGCAGTCAATAAATACATGAGAAATTTAGCTGTCATTCAGTTACTCTTAATTCTTTATAAAACTTTAAGCGATAGCACATATTTGTTTGTTTTAAATGGCTTTCCCAAAATCAAAGTAGACTAAAGCAGCCATCTTTAAAATCCAGGATCATCAATGCTATTAACAGTATCAGGTTAAAAGTACACTTTAAAATATTTTAATCAGGCAGAGTTTTATGGATAGAGAATAGAAGAGAAAGGTGGTAAATGCTGAACATATTCCAATATAGGAACCTATCTCTATTTTAGTACAAAATAAAATATTTCTGACATCTGAACTAGAGGTCAAGAGAATAAATTCATTTGTACACATCTGAGCAACCTGTCTTTCAGATGATAAAGTATCTAGCCTTTTCTGACACCATAATAGTTCATTTTGTAGGGAATAAGCCATTAGGTGTATATAATTGCTATCTAGAAATGACCTAATGTCCCCAACCACTGTGTAGTGGCAGATCACTGTTTCACAGCGTATTTTCTCCTAAGGAAAGTATTCAAAAGAGACTGCAACTAACAAGACTCTTATTTCATCAAAATTTAAATATTTCTTAGTTGTATTTTTAATGCCTCTTTCTTTTCTGCCTAAATGCTTAGAAAAGGCACTTTTCAGAACATCAAATTCCTAATGGAGAAGATAATGGGGAAATTTGACATTTGATATAAATTTATATTTGTTATGTGTATGTTTGTTAATGCAACTGGAATATTTGACCTAGGTAAGTATCAGTTAACATCCTTGTATTTATATAGTGACATCAAAATAAATGCAATCATCTTGGACTTTGATGTTAAGGGAGATTTTGAAAAAAATATTTAGTTATTTAAAATCCATATTGGTTCAAAAATATTAGTTTCTGCTGAATAATATTTTTAATTTCAAAAGGGTTTTTTTCCCTCTGTACTCCATTCTGAGGCTCAAGAGCTTAATGCAAGTATGTTTTCTGAGTTAACACTTTTAGATGAGAAAATGCTTGTATCATATAGGACTATAATATAAATAAATAATTTATATGTATGCAAAATATATCATATTTTCTACCCCTTAAAAAGTTAAATTAGAAATGAGCTTATTTTCTTACACATCAACATTTTTCTGTTGGTAAAGAGGACACAACTTCTAGGGATTGTTAATAATATCAGGAAGATATTTCATTCATCAGAACTAATTGTGTGCTTCTTCCCATATTCTCAGCTCATAACTCCCTGTTTTGGCTGCTCTCTTTATTTTACAATTGTTTTATTGCAAACAGCAAGGCAGTATGGCCCACACTCAGCCCCCAGCCCCCAGCCCCCAGGACTGAGAATGAGTGGGGAGGCTGGGGAGTTGGTGAGAGAAGGTGGAGATAGGGATTTCTGCTTCCCAGTATTCTTATCATTAGAGAAAAGGAGGGGTAAATGTTACCTAATAAGAAGAAAAAAGCTTATTCTTCAGGGACCCAGTAGATTGGATATAAGCAAGTAAATATTGCACAGGCATCATGATATAACACTTGATGGACCCCAGAGATACCCCTTACCCATGCAGAGAACAAAGCTGTGTGGAAGAGCAACTGCCATAAGATGGTGTGTTCCCTCCAGCGGCTGTTAAAGCTATCCTGAATCACAAATCAGCTATTTCGACCTACAGACCCATTCCAATATGCTGTGATACACGACACGGTGCACCGCAGAGGAGACAGACATCTTCAGCACAAACACAGATGCCTGCAGGAGCTTGGCAAGTCACTAAATTGCACGAAATTGTGAGGTGCACACCAAATGCAGGGATGGGGAAGGCCGTGGGAAGCTCTGTATTCTCAAAGTTTGACAGCTAGTTCTGGTTTTTAGAAAATGCCTGAGGCCAGTAGAGGCCCTGTAGTCACTCATTGCTGCTGTTTCTGATATAATTATTGAGAAAGCTATCTCATTTAATAGAAGAAAACATGCACCATCAAAACCAGAGAGCCTAACGTGCATGTGAAAATCGAGAAATCTGAAAACAAATCCAGGTACCCTTCTCTGAACTGGAGTGTTTCCACAGACTTGAATAATTTATGAAATTATCACACCAGTACTTCTCATATCACCAAGAAGACTTTCTATCCTGCCGTAGAGGGTTACTATATTTGCCTAAAAACACAATTCCAATATATGTCAAGGGCAGATAATTTATAAGTAAATGTTAATAAAATTGGATGTGTATAACTTTTTTGTTTGCAATACTTTAAAGTGTTTATTTCTAAGTAATAATGTTTCTAAGTAATATCTGCATTGGTATGAAAAGGCATTATGATTGCTATTTTACAGAGCAAGACATTAGTTATAAAAAATTTGGTGACTTGAACCACACCGGTGAGCTAATCCAGATGGACTAGTGTCCCTAAGGCTTATTGGGATTTGGCCAGTTCCCCAGCGTACCAACTCGTACTGGTGCATCACATGGTGTCTGATGGCCTGCTTGAGCTCAGTGGGCACAGACCATTGGGTGGCTTAGGATTTCCTGATTCTTAACACGCACAGCTTTAAATGATACTTCCCCTCAGAAGAGAACCGAGTGTGCAACAGCTGAAGTCAACATGGGTGGCACAAATCACATGCAATCTAGAAATAGAATTCTTTACTCATATGGGTATTTTCCAGTGTGCCACAGTTCCTTGAAGTAGTGTGGAAACATTTGTTTGTTTTGTTTGTAATCAGAGGAAAGGTTGGGGGAGGGCAATTGGACAGGGAGTTCCTCTTCTGGTGAGAGTAATTGGCACGAAGAGCAGGCAGTAGTGTGCATGTGGGGGCAGTGTGGTGGAAGTCCACAAGTCACCCTTCCTTTGCCTGGTCAACTGGGGTGCTTTGAGGAAGTCCTAATGTTCAGAGAACAACTCCAGGCCAGAATGTGTGTACTTCAGCCTCACCTATGTTCCTCACCCACATCAGAGGTGCTGACACCTCATACAGAGCCACATGGCAAACAAAAACAGATACCAAATATGATGCTGGGAGAAAAATGTATAGAAACAGAGATAAGTTGTTAAACTCAGTTTGACTCTGTTTCACAGAAAATGATGGCTTTTACTGCCTCAGTGTGGGTTTCCCCCCAGATTAGCCTGTTCCCCTTTAACTCTGGTCCTTGGGGCAAGATCAGCTCCAGGGAGAGTGGCCGTACTCACAGCTGTGGGAATGTGGCCACAGGCATGGACTTCCTGTACGATCCACCCCAGACATCCGTGCAAAGCTCCCCTCCCCTCAGGTCTACTTGCATAGGACAGAGCTGCTTCGAAGGCTGCTCCCTGCTCTAATGACTGTGCTTTCTGGTTTTTCAGTAATAATTATCTTCACTTTGGACAATTATATCCTCCCTTCTCTATACCATAACCCACTCCCTCTTCTCCTTTTACGTGGGTCAGGTGTATCTTTGTGATCTTGGCCTTCTAAGCAGTAAATTCAAATAAAAAGTCTGTAACCACAATACCTTAAAATTAGGCCCTGCAGTATTAAAAATATGAATGTACAACTATCAATTAGGGTTTCTCAGGGAAACAAAATAGGTATTGGTATCATGGGCTGAAGATTTTATTTTAGGCATTAGATACCATGCAGTTATGGTAAAGAACTCTCCGGAAGGCTAATGCTTCTGTGTCTGGTGGAAGGCCTGAAGTCACTGTGAGTCAGTGGGGGCTGGCAGTCAGGAAGGAAAGCTGGGTATGAAGCAGGAGAGAGCAAGGATAAGCTAGAACTCATGAAGACAAACCAAAATTTGCATCTAGCTCTCACCACCATACTGCGGTGGTGCGGATGACCTAAACTCCATAGTGCGGATGACCTAAAAACAAAGCTGGCACCCTTCCTCATGGAATTGCATGTGCATCTGGCCCAGGACTCAGATAAGCTGAAGGAAGAGATCTCATGTGAGCTGGAGAACTGTAGGCTAGCTACTGCCCACACCGACAGAGTGAGCCAGGAGATGGGGCTGGGTGTTGCAGCGGCACCTGTTGCCTGCTACTTCTGAGCTTAGTGATTGTGCATCACTTCCACCTTCCAAATCTCACGAAGATATCTCCTGTGGTCATATCTAATGTGGAACCCTATGAGTAAGGGAATTCTAGGAAATTCTGTAGTTCCAGGTTAGCTAGTCATAGTTCAGAACCTCTACACTGAAGTAGACCTCGGTAGTGATACCCCTTTGCCTAGTTTATGCACAGAAGTCACACTTCTCAGCACCCAGTGCAATTGAGTGGCAACACATGGCTACTTCTCACCAGTGGATTGTGAGGCCAGCTGACAATCTGAGGTTTCAGAAGCCCCTATACGGCCTTCAGTTCTTTTCCTGCCACATCAGTCATGGAGGCCAAGATGGAACCACCCTAAATCCCTGAGATTTAAATCTCTGAATCATTGAAGGGAGCTACCTTGGAGAACCTTGAGACCTACAGCAGAATTGGTGAGAAATAAACTATTATGTGTTAAGCCATTAAAATTTAAGGATTTTTATTTCTTTTTGGTTGTTAAATAAATGTATGTGATAACTTGTTACTGCAACATAACCCAGCCCACCTGACTAACACAGACATATGTATTAGGCATCAGGATGTTACTGGCAGAAGAGATCTGAGTTACCCTGAGTTACCGGCAGCGAACCTGTACAGATCTGCAGCAACCTCAACTCCTGCCTTCTCGGAAGAAATAATTCAACTGAGGGGCATAAAGCAGAAAAAGAGACTGAGGCAAGTTTCAGAGCAGGAGTAAAAAAGCTTTAGAACTGTAAGGAAAGGAAGGAAAGAAAAGAAGGAATGTATAACTTGCAAGAGGGCCAAGTGAGTGACTTGAGAAACCAAGTACGTAGCTTCACCTCTTGACTCGGGCCTACTTCCAGGATTTGCCTTACTTCTCCCTACTCCTGAGATCTTATTGGGAAGCTGCTGATCAGTTTCAGGTGTTTTCTGTGCATTGGGAAACTGCCTTTCTCTGGCGCTGGCTGTGACCAATTATTACTCTAGAGAAACAGTTAACAACTGCCTGACCATCACCTGATGGTCGCCCAGTGCTTTTGGTGTGTGTGTCAGGCTGGGGGTCCTCTCCTGCCCTGCTCATACATGACTAGCTACCTACTGTAATGAGAAAATCTCTAACTTCTGGGATTTATCCAAGAAAAATGTAAACTAAGAAAAAGATCTATACAGTTGTACCTTGGTATTTGTGGAGTATTGGTTCCAGGACCTCCCCCGCCTCCCACTACCCCCGTCCCCCGCCCAGATATTGATACTGAATTCCACAGACGTTCAAGTCCCTGATATAAAGTGACATAGTATTTGTATATAACCAACAAACCTCCTTCTGTGTACTTTAAATAATCTCTAAGTTACTTATAACACCTAATACAATGTAAGTGGTATATAAGTTACTGTTATGCTGTATTGTTTAGGAGATAATGACAAGAAAAAAGTCTGTACATGTTCAGTACAGATGTAAACATTCATTTCTTTTCCCAAATATTTTTTATCTGCAGTTGATTGAATCCACAGATGCAGGACCTACAGATACAGAGGGCCAACTATGTATACAAAATACTCATCATATTATTATTTATAATTTAAAAATTGAACACAGTCCAAATGTCCAGCAACTTGGGTGTGTTTAAAAATTTATCATTCAGACATAGGCTGGAATGTTATGAAACCTATGGGAAGTATATAAATTGAGGCAATACTGGAAAATAGGCAGAATAAATGTTTTAAATGGCTACAAAATTGTATATACACTATTATCTTCATGATACAAAAAAGCCAACTTCTCCAAAAAACTTGAATAGAATATATTGCAATGATATTCATTGTAAAATAGCTATAGGATATGCATTTTCTTTTTCTTTACTTTCTTTTTATCATTTTAAAAATTGCTTTTATAGTTTAATAATAACATTTTTTTAAAAGAAATGAAGATCCTAATGACTAAAATCCAGCCAGTATTTCCTAAGAACAAGTTCTTCCAAACTCATTTGCATTTTTATAGGATCACTAGAATTGTAGATTAAGTAAATACCATAGCCACAGTTTAAATTGATTTCAACAAGACATTTAAGAAAAGTTTCCATGATGTTCCTGTTGACAAGATAGAGAAATTTGTCCTGGATGACAATGGAGCTTACCAATTTGCATGCAAGTGAACAATTTCGCTTAATATGAGACTAGAGTAAAATATCCTTGGCCTGCTGTTAGATCTCTGTCCTTGGCTTTTCCCAACCAACATTTATTTAAATGTCTGGAAGAAAGAAATAGCAAAATTATAAAATGTGGAAATGACATAAAGTTGGAAAGTAGATTTAACATGATTGATGACAGAGTAACAATAATATCAGAAAACTGGAACAATGAACAAAGCTGTTCTGAAGAACTTTAACTGAAAAATGCAAAGTTTAGCTCCAAAAAACTCAGTTTCATAAATATAGGATAGAACAGATAGCCATTCATGTGAAAAACAAACAAATATTGAGATTTTTGAATAGCCTCTACCTCCATGCCTGTATATTTATTTGTCTCAACAACTATTTATTTAGTACTTGTTATATTTAAGGAATTTTTCAGTGGTCCAGGCAAGACAGGATAATGGTTTTATCTTAAGGAGTAGGCTCTAGGGACAGAAAAAGGAGTTGGTTGCAAAAAGTATTCAAAATGATGAGCTTATCCTTGGATATGTGAGTTTTAGTTATTTTAGAGACATCCAGGAAGAAATATTTGTTTGACCATTGGATATATAGGTTTGGACTATGAAAAAAAAGGGCTAGAAATAAAAGATGACAGAGTCATCGGGACATACATGGTAATGAGATCAAAGGAACAAATGAATGCTGAAAGAGAGAGTAGATACTAAGAAGAGAAGTTTGAGGACACAGCCCCAAAGAAAATCTAGCAAGAAATAGTCAATAAGAAAGAAAAACCAGAGAGCTAGTGAGAGAAAAAGAAATGATGTTTCAGAAGTTAAGAGAAGAGTTTCAAAAAGATGTAGAACTTCCAGGCAAGTAAGCAGGTAGACCATCAGAGCCTGATTAGCTCCTCCTAACTCTATTCACAAACATAGAAAACACAGAAAGGAAACCATACCTCATAGTACAACATAAAAATAAAACATTTTAATCATTCATAAACTAAATAACATAATACCATTACTGAAGCTAAGAAAAATCTGTTAAGGAAATTTCTAACTATATCTTTTACAAC